CGTCGAGTTTAGGGCTTATAGGGTTTAATCCGGGTCTGATACTCCCAAGGTTTCAAGCCGAATCTCCACGGCCTGTTTGCGAACCTGTACGGTTTAAAGCCCTTCTCGCTGAATCTGATCTAAACCCTGGTCCTTAGAGTTCTGAGGGTTCATATTCAATCTTGAAAGGCTTGGAAGTCGTGTCATACAAAAGTCTGAATCATAATGTCCTCATGATTCCTATATAGTTATATCGAATCTACTGGAACTATGTTACTATTCATTTCATACCCCCTCGCCCTGTTTTTATCGGTTGGTAGCCATATCACGAAACCTAGCAAAAACTCCCAAACTACAGCCTAAACCCTAAACCCTAAACCCCGAAGGTCGTCGAGACTGCTGTGTCCCACGGTGGCCTCGCTTTTGAGTTCGCCTCTGATCGTCTGCGCGACGACAAAGACCTGGCCATGAAGGCCTCTGCTCAGGGTTTAGGGTTTAGGGTTTAGGGTTTAGGGTTTAGGGTTTCGTGCCTGAAATCGAGAAGAGGCGATGCTATATTCAATTCATTAAGGTTTCCCTGATATCTCAATATAAGTGAATATCTATATATATATATATGTGTATATATATATATATATCTCTCTCTCTCTCTATCTATCTATATCTATATCAGGATATGAAGCCCCCACTACCCTATTTTCCTCATTCAGGTTTGCGTCTTCAGATGCTTCAAGAGGTCAGGGTTCAGGGTTGGGAAGCTCTTGTAGACTTCTGTGGTGGCGAAGGATCGACGCCCCACCTCCCCCCCCTCATTAAGCCCTGAACCGTCCCGGACCCTAAACAGTAAGCCCAGCAAGCCCTAATCCCGGAACCGTACCGTTTCGACTTGCAGCTCAGACGACAGTTCTTTAGGCGACACAAGCAACCAGACCGAAGCCTAGACACCATGGAGGTCGGACTTATTGGTAATGCTACGGCTGATAGACAAAATCCTGCATGACCTTATATACCTAAGCTATGGGATTCATGGTACTATACTGTATTTGAGTCATGCAGAATTTTGTCCATCAACAGTATCCTTTAATTGCCCGTAGAAAACAATTCTGCAATCTACACGCCTACTCTGATCGTCAAGGCCCGCCTATATCTGGCCAAACCGGCCAAAGCCTATCAACCCTAAATCGTCAACGCCCATATAGCCTAGATCAGACCAGGCCGACCAAAGGCTATGAACCCTAAAGCCGAAACCCTGAATCCCAGACCCAGCCCTGCTAAACCATGCTTCACAACCCCCAAACCGGAGCCCTCAGATCCGAAAAAAACATGCAAGACTCCACTCCCAAAGCCGCCACGCAAACCTCAGTTGAAACCTGGGAACTGTCAAACTTTGAAAGCCTCATATAAGAAATTCACAACAAAAGAACCCTAAAAGGCAGGTTATGTAAGGCATGTAGGGTTCAGGAAGACTCTGTACTACCTCAGACATCTTCTAAGCTTCTACGTAAACTTCTTGAAGGCAGCTTGCGACGATCCTCGAGCGCTTTTGTTCGCTTCGAATCTCGTCTCCATAGCCTGAACCCTAAACAAATACAAAGGTGCGCACATACCTTAAGCCCTGAACACCGAAAAGTAGACATCCAAACCCGGGGATCTCGACAAATGGCCTGAACTGTTGGTCATGACATTATAGCCCTGTATTTCGGATAATGGCAGACGCAAGGACATGTTTGGTTTTAGTCTTCGTGTTGCCTTTGGTCTTACTTTTCATAACTGCAACGGTCATGGTGGTGACGATGACAAGGAGATGATGGCAGTTATCACCGCCATCAATATGTGGCTTGTTTGCCAGGTATGTTCTCGACCATTGTAGTGCTTTCATCATTACTCTAGTAACGGAAAGTAGTTATGCAGAACTGGAGCGAAACAGCAGCCGGAGTAGTAGTGGTGGTGGTGCTGCTGGTGCTGCTGGTGCTGCCGGTGCTGGTGGTGCTGGCGCTGGTGGTGCTGCCGCAACTGCTGGAGTGTCTGCTGCTGCTAGTAGTACGTAGCAACATTAGAACTAGCAACAAAACAGCAGAACCAACCTGGCTACGAGCTGTGGCAGCAAGCTGAGTGGCAATGGTAGTTGTGGTAGTTGTACTGCCAGCAGAAGTAGAAGTGGTGGCAGTTCCGTCTGAGTGCAAGCAGCATCCCAAAGTCATAGTCTGTTAAATGTGGAGCCGGTGGACCTTCAGGGCTGCAGGGATCCTGCGCATGGTAGCTTTACAAGTGGGCAATGCAGAACGCAATTGTTGAGTCCGCTTCACCAGCGAAGCAATGCTACCTTGCGAACTACCGCCAGGCGTCGCTTGCAAGAGGATGACGGTCTAGTGCTAAAGGCTGTAGCTGCATCCTCTGTCAACTCCTGGACCAGCATCGACTGGCGAACAGCGCTGGTATGAATGGTCCAGGCACGTACAAAGATCTCACCCTGGGTTTCGCCACCCTAAACCCTAAACCCTTTAACCCTATACTCTAACCCCTGAACCCCTAAACCTGATGCCCTAAACCCCTAAACCCCTAAACCCTAAACCCTAAAGCCTAAACCCTAAGCCCTAAACCTTTAAACCCAAAACCCTAAACCCCAAGACGCAGTCTTGGCGCAAGGGCGCTCTGGAAGCAAAGCTCTTCCCGGCAGGGTTTCATCGATCCCGGGCCTCTAAAAGGCGACCCTGGACTGCCCAATCGGGATGTGGGTTTCAACATGTATACCAAAGGGGCCTACATAATTACCAATGCTATTTTTTTTTGGGGGGGGTTTAGGGTCCTCATAATGATTACAGTATGTTGGGCCCCAAAACCCTATTCAAACTATTAAGGCCCCTATACGTATTATTTTATTGCACTGTAGTGTACTCTAGTACATAATAGCCTAGTATAGTATATAGTCCTACTCTAGTACAGTATAGTCCAGTATCGTATCGTAGAGTACATGTAGGATCAAGGCCGTGAAACAGAGAGGATCGAGCTATCAATGTCATTCATCATTTTCAACATGCACGCACGGATGTTTAGGTTTGGTATGTGTTTCATAGGTATCATTTACCGCCTAGAGGGCCTGTGGTTGTTATATAAGGCTCAAAGGATCCCAAAGGGTCCAAGTACCGGTACGTAGTAGGTATTTGGGCCCCAAAAGTATATACTATACTAGTACTTGGACCCTTTGGGGATTACGAAATGGCGAACTACCCACTCTTGCGTCATCATCCCAATGGCTTTTTTGCAGAGTATCCAGCAGCCGGCCCTGATCCTTCGCACCTTTCCCGGGCGATTGTTTCCTTGCCCTCCTTGAATTAAACCCTAAACACCTTCAAACATGGTGGGAACACCATACATAGCCATAGCCCTCGATCATTATAAGCTATAAGCCCGAAAAACCAATTCAGGCAACGCTCGACGCCTACTGAAGCATCTTCGGCATAGAGTTTTGAGCCTCAGAAGCCATAGCTTCAAAACCATCGAACTCCGCTGCATCTCTCATATGCTCAGGTAACCTCCTCAAGAGCGTTGAGGGTCTAGGTGTCACGGTTGACTCCTACACCCGACAGACCAAGAGCTTGAATCCCCAGATCAGCCTCCTACCCTAAACCAGAATCCCTACAGCCCGTTAAACCCGAAACCCTAAACCCCAAGCCCTCCACTGCAAACCCTAATAAACTCCCGAAGCTTCCTCGTAAAGGGATACACTTGAGCCTGATCCTTAGAGCCGGTATTGTAGGGGCCTTGGAGCCTCAATAATTAGAAACGGGTTTTGGGGTATCTTATACTATAAACATAGTAAGGAACCCCCCCCCCAAAAAAAAAAATAGTATTGATAAATTATTAAGACCCCTATAGTACGATGTGACCTCGGCCATGGCGCGAGCTGGGAAGAAGACTTGGCACATCCTTGGCGTGCAATCGAAGGCTGCAGCTAATGATTCCTCAGGGTTTATGCGCCTATGTGTTTTTCCCCGGCCCCAGGTCGTACATACTATGTAATATAGAAGCCTAAATAATTACCAATATTACTGTCAGGGTTCCTTATTACAATAATACTATGAAGCCCAAAACCCTGTTCTAATTATTAAGGCCCCTACATTAAGTAGATGGACCCTTGAGGGAGGAGTCTGTGCGGGGAGGAGCAGTTCAGGGGTTTTTAGGGGTTTGGGGTTTAGGGTTTAGGGTTTAGGGTTGACTTCAGGGTGCGGCGATTGGGGCTCGAATACCCAGCGGCTGTTTGTGTTCTTGGGTGCTTTCTGCAGGTTAGTGCCTTGGGCTTCAGAGCATCAGAGAACTTCACGTCTAAGCCCCAAGCCCCAGAAGAAGAGAGTGAACTCTGCGCGCTTCAGGCAACATTCAGATGCTGAAGTTCAAGCTCGCAGGACAAGCCGGCAGAGTGATGGCTGGCCATATTGCAGGCAGGATAATATGGGGCCTGAATGATTACCTATATTATTTTNNGTTCCTCATTATCATTGTAGTATAATATGCACCAAAACCCTATTCCCATTTTTCAGACTCATATATTAATATCAATAGTGAGTTCTTGAGATGTAGCAATAGTCGTTCCGTCGATGGGAACGGTGAAGAGCAAGACGAACCTCGACTGTGAGTCATGCCGACAGCGCCGCGGGATATTAATAGCGAAGACTGTCTGAGGTACTGGCACAGAGCAGGAAGCAGAACTCGGGAGGTTCGAATCGGTCCACTGCCTCGTTCTGTTCTCACAGGTTGGCTTTCTCCAGATCCCCAGGATTTAATTTGAGACCCTATTTCCGAGACCACATCTGTTCCACTGAACCCTATGTGGCGATATCCTAAGCTAAACCTGCAAGTCCGGGTCCAAAATCTTCAAGCTGTACAGCCTCCCTAAAACTCCAGCAGCACCTGTGACCCCTCAAGCATTGCAATCAAGTTGCGAGGGCCTAGGATCTCCTTTGTGCCCTATCGAATAACACAGTAAGAAAGCATTCTGCAGCTTCTTGTAATGACTATAGACTATAGCACTACAGCATAGTGTGCCCAAAACCCTGGTCTAAATGTTACAGTAACTACCCATAGGCCCCATAGTAGTTCCTTCTTTGAGGTTACCATAGGATTCTATGAATCCCCAAAAAGGAACTACTTTAGGGCCTATGGGTAGCCGGATATAACCAGGTAACCGGCCCGTGCGGCCTTGGCGGGATTGAATCAGCCGGCCGGTAGCCGAGGCGACATGACTTCATTGGACCGCTGAGTGGGGTTTAGGGTTTAGGGTTTAGGGTTTAGGGTTTGGGGTGTTGGTGGGCTTTAGGTTTTTAGGACTTTTATACAGGGGCTTTGATAATGAAAATGGGGTTTCGGTGTATGTTATGTTTTGATTATAATAACGAACCCCTTAAAATCCTGTTTGATTATCACGGCCCCTATATTGCCCCTAGTAGCCTAAGCCCCTAAACCTTAAACACCCTTAGCCGAAACCCCTAAAGCCTAAACCGCGTTTTCGGTGCTAAAGTGTTGAGCAGGGGCGTGCAGATGTGGGATTTCAGCTCTGAGCATTGTAAAGTTGACACACTTCGAGGCTGTCCGTGTTTTTGCCATGCAATGCACACATGAAACCTAGACCCCTGATTATCCGTCCTCTTTCGATAAGGATCATGGGTGGGATCCCAAAGGATCTACATATTATGGGATTTAGAGGTTAAGGTTTTCGATGGTACTTGACAGATTTCGTAGGAGTCGCATATCATACCTATAGTCTCCATTGTAGTTCCTTTTTGGGGATACCTTATAAACTCCTTAATATATCATTGGTTAAACCAAAAAAAGGAACTACAATGGAGGCCTAAACCCTAAACCCTAAACCTACAGGTAACCCTTAAGAATAGGTAAGGCTCGAGCTCGGAATCTCCCAGGTCACAAGAGGCCGAAGAGAGGATGGTGAGGATATCTTCGGTGCTTCGGCGGCACTGGCAAGGGCCCCCTGTTTCCACGGCCTAGATCGGAATCCCTTGTAAGGATTGTAGGGCATACTGTTTTGGTACATGGAGCGTGCCCACGTATACCCTGCAACCTGAACCGCCAAGAATCCAGCAGCGAAACACCTCCACTTTCAGGCCCACTGACCTAACTGCAAACTCCCTCAGTTTAAGTTCTAAAACTTTACACGCCATGACATACCTGAGCCCTTCGAACACACAGTGCAAGCACGCAGCTTTGAATTTAGCATTCGCAGAAAGATTGCATGTCCACTTCATCCATGGACACCAGAGTACGCGCTGCATGAGGTCAATGATGACACGCCAATGTGGGTTTTTTCTTACCACATGCTATGGTTTCTTTGTTATGGTAGCTTAAGCCGAGTGCCTTTTCAAGAGCCCGGCCGAAGGCGGATGTGTTGATGGCTGCCCGTACGGCAGTGCCCCAGACTTCTCGTTAGCTGAGCACAGAGGACTTCGTAAACTTGAGTTGGTCTGCAGGCCAGGGCGTCGGGTGCTCATTGAGTGGAGTTCCCTTTATAGTTAAGGTTCCCCGAAACCAACTCTGATGAAGGCCCCTACATGTCGAAAAGGGCTGTCGGAGGTTGATTACGGGAGATGTGGAGTTGGGGTTGACCAGTCAAAAGTTTTCAGTCAAGGATTGAGTGCCATTGCGGGTTTGCGGTTTGGATGAAGTCGTAGGCTCCGTATCTGTGTATGTGACCCTTACAACTCTGTTGGTATGTACGATCCGACCATGAAATAATTATCAAAATTGGGCAAGTGAACTGACCGATTTGAGGGCACTGAGCCTTGGGGTTGGTTTTCTTTCTCCATCAATCAGAACACGGCTACAACTTGGCTAGCTTAGGAGTGCAGGTGAATATCACAATCCTGGCAGGATTAGCCAAAGACTCCAACTAGTAGCTCATTGCCGAGAGATATGCTCATAGTATTCAGGAACAACAGTGGCCGCAACTGTATCCGTCAAAGTAATGGAATAAGATCAACACAACAGGGATCATTGCAGCCCCGGGCAAAGTACTACAGATGCTTGGGCACACTGTAAATCGGAGTCGTAGCTTACCGAGCTCAACCCTAAACCCCAACCCCCCAAGCACTCTCCAGACAGGCAAGATGCGAACTCTCGGCCGAGCTTCGTGGAAAGACACCAGATCGCGAGCCCTGAAGCTGCTTCAGTCGGAGCTGCCTGAGAGCCGGAATCTCGCGAACCTGGCCCCAAAGCAGCAGTTGCCGTGCCCCAGGGGTCCATGTGCCTGTATAGTCGTATCTACAGTGTCCCTAAAGTACCTTTCTGGGAGCCCTTTAAGGCTTAGGTAAGTCTATCATATGCAGGTACATGTACCTCTAGGCTAAGATTCGAGCGGATCGGGGCCTCAGGGCCTAAGAGGAGAGGCTGGAGCTGCAGTGCATGTGCAGAAGCTAGAGTTAAGGATAAGCTT